ATTTTTAAGATTCCACTTATAAGTGATATACAGTGTTTGTTGTTCTCTTTCTGGCTTGTTTCACTTGAAGCATAATGCCCTCCAAGTCCATCCATGTTGCTAAAAATGGCAAACTTCTGTTATTTTTTATGGAATACTGAATAGTATTTCATTGTGTGTGTGTGTGTATATATATATATGTGTGTACGTATACACACACACATACACACACATCACATTTTCTTTATCCATTCATCTGTTGATGGACACTTAGGTTGCTTCCATATCTTGGCAATTGTAAATGATGCTGCTGTGAGCCTTGTGCATTTATCTTTTCAAATTTAGTGTTTTGGTTTTTTCAGCTATATAGCCAGGAGTGGAATTGCTAGGTCGTAGGGTAATTCTGTTTTTGGTTTTTTTAAGAAAACTCCATGCTGTTTTCTACAGTGGCTGCACCAATTTACATTCCCACCAACAGTGTACAAGGATTCCCTTTTCTGTTCATCCTCACCAACATTTGTTATTTGTGGTCTTTTGATGATGGCCGTTCTGACAGATGTGATGCGATATCTCATTGTGATTTTGATTTATATTTCCAATAATAATCTTTAATTTCTCCTCCCTGCAGTTTGTTTCTTCAAGTTCTTTTTCTTCCAGCTTATAGATTTTCTTAATATTTGGGGCTGCCTGAAAGCCCTGAGTAGGCAGTGGGCTTGTCAATGGGAAGCTTTGCTGTAGATAGTTGGAGGGACTGCTTATGCCTCCCTGCCTCCTGCCACGCACACAAATAGTAATGTGTCTAGATATTTTCTCGTGTGCTGGTCATCACCAGAAAGGTCTCTCCCAGCTTCCAGGCTATAGGGCAAAGGCCTGGCAGTCTGCTTCTGGGAACCAGGCAGAAGAGGTCTGGGGTCTCAAGGGTAAGCATTCAGCATTCTGTAAGTGCACAGACACTTACTTGCCCTGTGTGCAACGACCCTCAGTTGTGCTGACCAGCCATCACCTGAGCTTGTTGACTTCCAGTCCTAAGTACTCCCTCTCCACCCTGGGGGTGGAGGAAAGGGGTTATTCCTCAGAGGTGTGGAGTGGCTGAGGGGAGCTAAGGTTCTCATTCCATCCTAAACAACTTGTTCGAAATCCTTGTTTTATCTCCCTCCCCTCTGCTTGACTTCCTGATGCATAGTGATTAATGCCAATTTCTGAGCCTTTGGGGGGTTTGGCAGGATGGTTTTCAGCTTCCCCCCACCCCTCTGCTGGCTCTGGTCTTGGCTTGTTAGGTCTGTTGAGAAACTATACTGCCCTCAGTTTTGCAGCTTCCAGTCTTCTGTTGTCGCCATCTTCTTTTCTGGTTTCCCCTTCCATGTGAATTTCTGTCTTTTAAAAAAATCTTGGAACTCTAATCCTGGCTTTATTTGGGAGGAAAAATGCTAGTTATATTTCTTCCATCTGTGATGATGATCCTGTAGGTCTTTAATTAGATTATTAATTTTATTTTCCTACACAACTCAGTAACCCAGCTCATTCCTTTTTAGTTCACTGGTTTGAGACTGTTGATCAATAAATTATTTAACTTCTCTAAACCCTGTAAAATAGGAATATTACTTGTCCTGCCTACCTTTAAGTTGTTGCTGCGGCTGCCCTGAGTTACCATGTGGGTCTGAGGGCAGAATAAACAGCTGTACATACCTGGCTCACCGGGTGATGGTGAATATCCTCTCTGGTCAGTGAAAATGCTCAGGCCTGACCTCTGGTTTTCATCCTCTTTCTAGAACAACAACTTAGCCTGACCCTCAGTTTTTGTTGACAAAGCCTTTGGGAGACAGCGGAGTGCACAGAGTCTGTGTTGGAGGCACAGCCTTCCCTGACCTGGGAACACAGGTTGTCTGTCTCAGGGCTTTTGGAAGAGGAATTACTCTCTCCATTTCTGTTTCTGCCTTTTGCTCTGTTTTCTCCTCAGTGAAGCACTTGGCTTTCCTCCTCCAACAGCAATACCTTTCTGTCTTGTAATGATTTGCATTATTTGTTTTCCTGTCCAGCCCTCTTCTCCATCCCCAGCCCAAGTACACATGGCTCACAGGGACCCATTATCCATTCAGTCCCCCAGGCAGCACCTTTGCTCCCTGGGGTCTGCATAGCCCAGGGGCCAGTACCCACCAGGTGTGGCAGGAAGGGGCTCTGTGGCTTCTGCAGGGTTGTCCTCTCTAGTTCCACTAGGGATTCTTCCTGGAAATTCTAGGGGAGTCTTCCTAGAAACCCCCCTGTTACTGAAAAGGAAGCCAGTAGTTTCTTTTTTTTTTTAAGCCAGTAGTTTCATAGGGGCATAGAAGAGAAATTTCCTGAGCTGTTTAAGGGGCTATAAGTAAATCTCCTTTAGACTAAAAATACCCTGGTCTCTCGTCTCCCATTCCCATCACCTCCTTGCCCTTGACTGCAGTGGAGAGTGGATGAGCCCCCCGTGGCAGAGTATCCCATGGCCAGGAATCAGTCCCAGTGGAGTCGAGAGGGGACCTTTCTCCACCAAGTAGGCAGCCCAGAGCTGGCTGCCTAGAGTCTCTTGTGGTGACAAAGGAAGAAGGGGCCACGGGACTAAGGCTCGTGGCCGTGGGGAGATGGAGGGGCCGGGGTGACCACAGGCAGGTGAAAGAGAAAGGGGTGCGGCCCAGCTGGCAGGGAGGTCCTGCCTTCTTTCCAGCCAGCCGTGGATGCCTGAGCATGGAGCCCGCTCAGGAAGCCTGGCACACATCTGCGTGCTGGGATCTAACGCGTCCTCAACAAAGTTCCCTCTGGTGTGTTTAGCGATCTGAGCGATCAGTGCAGCCTGATAATTAGGCCTCCTTGGTGTGCACGGGAGTGACTGTAACAGGTGTGACTGCTCTCTGGCTGGGCTGGCACTCTAGGGTCAGCACGGGTGGGAAGGACCCAGGAGAATTCAGTAGAGCAGGAACCTGCTCGTGGCTCTCTGGGAATGTCCGCCTCTGTGGCAGGGCCCTGTTAGGCCCCCTTCATCATGGGGAGGCTCACCTGCTGTTCTCCTCCCCACCCCCAAGCCAACTTCCTCCCCGGGGGATGAGGAGGGGGCTGCCAGGGTCTGATCTTCAGTGCCAGGCCAAGGGGCGTGGACCACAGCCAGCTCTGGAGGTGGGGGAGGGGCGGGAGGTCTCAAGCCAGACTGTGCCTAGGATCCTGTGTTTACTCTGCCTACCAGGGGCCTGGAGTGCGAGAGAGGCACAGAGGTGCTCCCCACAGAAACCTGGGTGTTTGTTTCCCCGGGGATGAGAGGAGACCATCCGTGCTTGCTTGGATGGAGGACTCAGGTAGTTTGCTGTCCGGAGCCCCCCCTCCCCACCTCCTCATGCTCCTTCCCTTCCTTCAAGAGAAGGGAATGCTCACGGGGTCTCCAGGCTACTCTGCAGTCCCCATCGCCCAGGGCAGAGGCCAGACAAACGGCTCCTGTGTGGAGCCTGATTGGGGTTGTTATCCAGAAGGAAGAAAGCCAGATTCCAGGGAAGGAGTGTGCAGTGGGTATGGTGGGGTCGGGGGATACACTGTAGTGTAGGGCTAGAGCTGGGAGGAAGCTTAGCAAGATGCTGAGTGAGGCTGACAGATATATCAGCAGCTCTGCCGTCTCCCTTCCGCTAAAAATTCCACCTTCCCAGACCTAAATGGGAAGGAAATACAAAAAAAAAAAAAGAGTGGATACATGTAAACATATAGTTGATTCACTTCGCCTACAGCAGAAGCTAACACAGCATTCATGTGCTAAGTCACTTCACTCAGGTCCAACTCTTTTCGACCCTGTGGACTAGAGCCTTCCAGGCTCCTCCGTCCATAGGATTCTCCAGGCAAGAATATTGGAGTGGGTTGCCATGCCCTCCTCCAGGGGATCTTCCCAAGCCAGGGATCAAACCCACTGCTCATGTCTTCTACCTTGGCAGATGGTCCTTTACCACTGAGCCATCGGGGAAGCCCTGTAAAGCAGTGATACTCCAATAAAAACTAATAAAAAAAAATCACTTTTCCAGACAGCCCTCATCCCCTTGCATGCCAGGCTTTGTCTGGAGGGTTGGCAGAGCATGTACAAAGAAGGGCCTGATCAGGAAAGCTGAGGGGGCCTCCTCAGGGTTCAACCTGAGAGCAGGAAGCATAGCTCCCACCCTGCAATCACACGTGCGGGGGAAGCTGAGCCCCCCGGAGTCAGGCTGGAGGATGAGGAACATCATATAGCTTCCTCTTCACCCCTGACCTCCTGAGAGACCAGCAAACCCTGCATGGGAGGGATAGAGTCCCTGGCAAGTGCCAAGACTCAGCCTAGCTCTAAGGGCCCATTTGTCTGGGTCTCACCTCCCTGAAGGGTGAGTGATCCTGGGTTAGGACCTGGGAGCTGCACAGATCTGGGTTTGATGCTGTGTTCTCCACTCTCTGTAGGTTTTCTGTGGGTTGCTCCATTTTCCAGATAGGGATAAGGACAATAGCTGTCCTAGGAGGTTGGGAGAGATGCTTGCGAAGAACAGTGCTGCACCCAGCACAAAGAAGGGAATTCAGAGGAAATGGCAGCTATTATGGTGGTGGTCTCTCCTTCCGCGTATGGACCAGGCTGTCCTAGCTGTGTTTGCACTTGAGGATATGGTCACCGGTGTTTCCCAGCTGGCTCAGGGGTAAAGTATCTTCCTGCAATGCAGGAGACTGAGGTTCAGTCCCTGAGTCCAGAAGATCCCCTGGAGAAGGGAATGGCTACCCACTCCGGTATTCTTGCCTGGAGAATCCCTGGACAGAGGAGCCTGGTGGGCTATACAGTCCATGGGGTCGCACAGAGTCGGACATGACTGAGCAACTAAACAACAAATATGGTTGCCATGGGGGGTTCTGTCCTCTGCAAAGGAAGCTCAGTTGTGCCAACCTGTCTGCAAAGGGCCCCTGTGGTGCCCTGCCCCCTCCCCCCTGGCCCAGGGTTGGGGTGCACCGGATCCTGTGTTCCAGGCTCTGATGCTAACTGGTACCTACCTGCTTCCCTGCAGACCTGCGCAGGATGACGGCTGGCTTCATGGGCATGGCGGTGGCCATCATCCTCTTCGGCTGGATCATCGGCGTGCTGGGCTGCTGCTGGGACCGAGGCCTTATGCAGTATGTGGCCGGGCTGCTCTTCCTCATGGGAGGTAAGGCTCAGGGGCAGCAGGCCGGGAGATCCTGGTTACTGGCATTCTGAGCGAACAGCTGGTGGACTTGAGGATGGAGGCCCAGACTCCATTGGCGGGCCCCTTTCCTTCACTCATTCTGACTGTGTTTTGAGTTCCTGGTGACTGCTGGTCATTGCCCTCTGGGGTCTCCCACCTGGTGTGTGAGAGACGGTGGTGATGGCCTTGAAACAGGTGTCAGATGTGGAGCAAGTGTGAACCCAGGAGGTACTTGGGTATTTTGAGCACGTAGCATGTACCTGGCATATACTGTGGGGCGGGGGGCAACTGCTGTCTGGACAGTTTCGTCTTCAAAAGCCTACCTCCATCCTGATTCCTGGGTCCTACGGCTGTTGCTCCCATTTCCAATGAGGCTCTAAGCTGGTGGGACAAGGCTAAACCTTCTGTCATGTGTCTCTCTCACCCTCTGTCACTGCCATGGCCATAGGACCAGTCCAGCCCTTTGACAGGTGGTCCATGAGCAGAGCTGTGTAGCTGTGAGGGAACAGGTTCTTGTCCATGGGAAGTAAAAGTGCATTCACAGTCTGTATGGCCTCTTTTCTCCCTGAAGAGTTCAAGTGTGCTTTTTGGTCTCCTAGTTTGAGCCTCAATCCAAAGTGAAAGCTAACCGTGAGTGTGCCCTTCACAGGGCATTCCTTGGAGAGAGGTGGATGGACAAATTGCATGGAGTTAGGAAGAAGGGGAATTGGGCTTGTGCAGAAGCAATTGAAAATGTATACAGGGAAATGTGTAAGGGCAAGAGGAGAAGGGGACGACAGAGGATGAGATGGTTGGATGGCATCACCAACTCAATGGACGTGAGTTTGAGCAAGCTCCAGGAGTTGGCAAAGGACAGGGAAACCTGGTGTGCTGCAGTCCATGGGGTCTCAGAGAGTCGGACACGACTGAGGAACAGAACGGCAGCAATAATGAGTCCCATCCATGGAAGCCAGCGTTAGTTAGATGGCAGACACCACATGAACCGCCTGACTTGGGATCTCTGATCTGGTCCTGGAGGTGGGGAGGGGCGTGGTGTCCTGCTGGAAATTGGAGGTGGCTATCCTGGACAGACAGAGAGATCTGGGGGCTAGTGAACTGTGGGTTGGGAGAGAAGGAGGAGAATTGTTGGGTTCAACTTGGTGCTGGACTCTTTATCCTTATCCCCCTGAAGGACAGATGTCTCAAATCTCAAATTCTCTGTCACCAGAGTCAGCCATCCCTGCCCAGCACCACCTCCCCTGTGGGTCCCAACCGGAGTGAGGCAGAAGCCAGGGGAGAGAGAGGCACGGGCGGCACCCTGCTCCTTCCTTCCATCCCCTGCTGAGACAGGACCCCCCTGCCCCCACAAAACCAGCCCCACCACCTTCTCTGTGCCCCGGGTGTCCTCACTGAAGCAAGGGTCACACTCAGGATGGCCGTGCTTGGTTTTAGCAGCATGGAATCTTTTTCGTTTCCACTTTCCAGTCAAAAATCTTCCGTGGACCCCGAAACGTGAAAAGATCAAAGCGGAGCGGCTCTGTTTGTAGCGCGTGTTCTCTCTTAAGGCTCCTGTGGTTGTACAAAGACGGGCTCCAGTAAAACGGGGCTTTTCTAAGGCTCTAGAGAGGCCTCCCAGGAATCTGAGAAAAGCTGAGCAAACAGGCCTCGGGCATAGCAGGAATCCAGGAGCCCTGGGAGCTGATGCTCTTTCATCCCCGCTCTTCCGAGGTGCTCCCACTTCCCCACACGCTGCCTCCTCCCCCATCCCTCCAGGCCAGCCCTCCTCACCTCCCACCAGGTGCTGAGCCTTCCAGCTCTGACAGCTTCCAGACAGAGGGCCCTGCTGATCTTTGCAGGCCGGCCACACACCACACCCCAGGACCCTCCCCGCTCACCTGAGACCTGGGAGGGAACTCTCTCCCAGAAGAGGGTGGGGGACAGGAGGGTGCCTGGGGCCCTGCCCCTCCCACCCCCCATTTGCTGGGGCACCGCCAGAAGCCGAGGGCTCTGGGATGCCAGGTGAAAGCCCTCAGGCTGGACCAGGGACCCGAGACCCCTCCCCACAGGAGAGTGAGTGACGGCGTTGATCCGCTTCCTCCTGCTTTCGGCTGTGCTGGGTCTTCATCGCTGCTTGGGCTTTTCTCTAGTTGCAGAGGGCATGGGCTACTCTCTAGTTGCAGTTCTCAGGCTTCTCATTGCGGTGGTTTCTCTTGTGGTGGAGCTCGGGCTCTAGGGCCCCCGGGCCCGGGAGCCACAGCTACTGAGTGCAGTAGCTCTGTGGTGCGGGGGCTCCGTTGCTCCGAGACATGTGGTGTCTTCCTGGCTCAGGGATCCAAGTTGTGTCCCCTGCATTGGCAGGCAGATTCTTTACCACCGTGCCACCAGGGAAGCCCTGGTTAGTGGTTTGTAATCACTGCACAGTCAAATCGCCTGCAGGGCTTTTTAAAGTACTGATGCTGGGGCCTTGTCCAGACTCATCCAAGCTGAACACTTGAGGTGACCCTAATGTGCGGTAACTGGGGGGGGGTGGGGGGGGAGAGCTGGGGGAACCGGTGACCTGTAAGAGTCCTCCAGCTCTGAACTGTCACGGTTCTGGGGATGAACCAGTCAGGAAGGCCTCTCAGAACTTGTCTTCCTACCCAGCTCCCCTGCCCCATTTTATGACTGCTTCTCCAGTTCTTAGGCTGCATCAGACAGGATAGTGCTGTCACAGGGCATGGGTTATTATCCTGGAGGCCCGTCCGAGCCCTGGTCACCAAGGGTCCCAGCTAAACCAGCTTCCCCCACACATGGACTCCCCGCTGGCCTTTTCAATGGAAAAAACCATAGCTTATGATAAAATGGCAACATCCAGAAGCTGCTGTCCCGAGAGCTGCTTAGCACTGACAGGAGGGTTGTCCTGTTGGAGCGGAGCCATCTTGTCCACCCTGGAGCTTTGTTACCTGTGTCCACAGGTAACAAGACTCTGGGGAGGGAAGGGGTGTCCACACATCTCATGGTGACCAGCAGACGGGCCCCAAGAGGTGAGAAAGAAGGACAAAGCCACTAACAGCTGATCCCTTGATCCCTGGTCTTTGGGGGAAATTGAAGCTCTAGGTGGGGGAGGGTACCCTCTCCCTTTTCAAATGAGTGCCCTGTCCAAGGAGGCCTTCCCAGGTGGCACTGGTGGTAAAGAACATGCCTGCCAACACAGGAGATGAAAAAGACATGAGTTCGATCCCCTGGTTGGAATGATCCCCTGGAGGAGGGCACGGCAACCCCATCCAGTATTCTTGTCTGGAGAATCCCCATGGACAGAGGAGCCTGGCAGGCTACAGTCCATAGGGTCAAAAAGAGTCGGACATGACTGAGAGACTTAGTAGGCATGCATGCCAAGGAAGCCAGACACAGTCACGATGAGAGGAGGGAGAGGGGGGTGGTGGTCCTGATGCCCAGAGCAGCTGCTGCCTGCTGACCCCAGGAGTCTGGTTTAGTTCAGAGCCTGGCAGGGAGCAGACTCAGAGTAGAAGCTGTGCTTCCCTGTCCCTCCTCAGCACAGAGTTGCTGAGGGGTGAGGTTCCACCCAGAGACAAAGCCTTGTCATGAAGACTCTGTGTCATGAAGAGACATCTCAGCACCAACTACTCCCGGAACCAGAACTGGACTGGTGCCTGTCCTCCAGGAGTTCCTCTTCTAGGGGTGACCCATGGAAAGGCTTGGAGAGTCAGCTCCCTCTGACAGCTACCTTACGAATATGGCAAAGCTGTCCCTCAGACTGTAGATATTTGTGACCAAAATGTCCCATGGCTTTAGCTCTCACCCAGATTCAGTTCAGTTCAGTCACTCAGTCATGTCCAACTCTTTGCGACCCCATGGACCACAGCATGCCAGGCCTCCCTGTCCATCACCAACTCCCAGAGTTTACTCAAACTCATGTCTATTGAGTCAGTGATGCCATCCAACCATCTCATCCTCTGTCGTCCCCTTCTCCTCCTGCCTTCAGTCTTACCCAGCATTAGGGTCTCTTCAAATGAGTCAGCTCTTTACATCAGGTGGCCAAAGGATTGGAGTTTCAGCTTCAGCATCAGTCCTTCCAATGAACACCCAGGACTGATCTGCTTTAGGATGGACTGGTTGGATCTCTTTGCAGTCCAAGGAACTCTCAAGAGTCTTCTCCAACACCACAGTTCAAAAGCATCAATTCTTCAGCGCTCAGCTTTCTTTATAGTCCAACTCTCACATCCATGCATGACTACTAGAAAAACCATAGCTTTGGCTAGACAGACCACCCAGATTGGCTCAGTCTATAGCTGAGCACAGACTAGTGCCCAAGGGGTTTGATTGGACGGCCAGTGAGAACAGCTACTGGGGACCCGACCGACCATCACAGGGCTCCCAAGCTGGCCGGGTGTGGGGGTGATGTGGTGAGCAGGTGGAAAGAAGGGGTCAGTAAGAGCAAAACAGGTAAATTGAAAGTGAAGAGTCAAAGATGGAATTGCAGTTGACTTTAGATGACCCAGCCGGGGCCAAAATAAGAGGTTCTATCCACAACTTCTTATCTGTTCACACATGAATGGGGGTGGCCCACACTGGGTGCTTCTCTCTTCCAGGATTTAACTATTTCCAGGCTTAAAGAGAGGGCGCCCTGCACCTCAGGAGATGACTAGCAACAGATTGTTTAATTAATGCTCAACCTAGAGGAGGCAATTAGTTACTTATGGCAGCTCTGTCGGGCCAGGAGGCTGGGGGTGGTGGGTGGGATCCAGTTTCCCTTTGGCAAGGCTTCTGGGGAGAATCTAGCTCAGACTGGCATGGCAGCGTTTGGGTGCGACTGCTGGACACAAGTGTCTGGTTGAATCACCAGTGGGATTCAGATGTGCAGCGACAGGATGGCACGGGGGAAGCACAGCGTGGCGAGGAAGCAGATGACTACTAGGACCACTTGTAATTGACTCACCGGGTGCATCTAGAGCTGCCTCATGGACTCAGGTCTACAAATGGGTGGGAATGTCGAAAGCCCGTTC